TACAGTAAAATTTCATTTGTTAAATACAATAAAAACTATAAAATTATACACTTAGTGGATTATATTTTATTGATTAGAGAAATAAAAACTAACAATAATGGTAAATAGTGATAAAAAAAAACATACAATGATAAAATGAAAAAAATGCTAATAAATAAGCAAAAAAAGGAAATAGAAGATATAACGTTAATAATTATAAAAGAAAAAAGGAAACAAAAAGAAATGACGTGAAATGAAAAGAAAGAAATGAAAAAAAGTGTAAAAAGGATAATAAGGACAAAAGAAAGTGTAATAAGGTGATAAGGATGAAAGGGAAGTGAAAGGGAAATGTAAAAGAAGTGAAAAGGGTGTTAGAAGATGAAAAGAGAGTGGAAAAGATGATAGTGAGCGAAAATGAAGTGAGAAGGAAGTAAAAAGGATGATAGGAGATGAAAAGGAAGTGAGAAAGATGATAGTAAACGAAAATGAAGTGAGAAGGAAGTAAAAGGGTGATAGGAGATGAAAAGGAAGTGAGAAAGATGATGGTGAACAAAAATGAAGTGGGAAGGGAGTAAAAAAGGATGATAGAAGATGAAAAAGAAGTGAGAAAGATGATGGTGAACGAAAATGGAGTGAAAAGAAAGTGTAAAGGGTGATAGGAAAAGAAAAGAAAGCAAAAATAATAATGATAAATAAAAGAAATAAAAAGATGATGGAGAATAAAAAAGAAGTAAAAAGGAGAAAGAAATAAAATAATAAAGGGTAAAAAAAAAGTGAAAAGAACGATAGAAAGACGAAAAAAAGTGAAGAAAAAATAATCAAAAACACCACCCATAAAAAAAGGAACAAAGAAATGACTGGTTAGTATTATTTCAAATAAAATGAAAAAGTAATAAAAACAGAAAGATATAAAAGTTAATAAAGCAAGAAAGACATACATTAAATAAAAAGAAGCCATCTCATTATCTAAAGAAAAAAATAAAGTTAGCGTTAATAATAAAGTAAAGAGTCATTAAATACAATAAAATAATGAAAAAAAACAAAAAAAAATTGCCTTAAAAAAAAGTCATTTTCAAGCCAAAATAGCACTGCAATAAAAAATAAGGAAAAAAAAAATTATCATTATCTAATAAACAAATTAACATTTATCAGATGACGCGATGATCATGTTTGTGTAGCCAATAAAAAATATAAATTTATTACATAATCAGGGGCCACCATGGCGACCCAGGTCGCCAATTACATTTTCCCTATATATTTTTCATAAAATTAAGATATATTTTTTTTTATATACAGTATATTTATTTTGACATTCAATTCCTATTATAATCACAAGAATTAGCCTCTTGGACAATGTATACGAATAATAAATATATCCTTGATGTTAATATATAGTTAGCTCTTAGATATTTGGCCAGTCAATTCATAATTCCTTGATGTCAATATATGGTTAGCTCTTGGATTTTGATCAACCAATTTCATGCTGCAGATCATGATCAATTTTTTTTTTTTATATAAACGACCATTGTTCGTAATATTGAACTCAATATCAACTCAATATCAATATCAATATCAATTCAATATCAATTCAATTTCAATTCAATCAATATCAATATATATCAATAATATAAAAAACGTACCCTATACTTAGCGCATAAGAGCTAACCAAATTAGTAAAATTTTCCTTCCTTTCCAGGATAGCACAATTAGCAGAACAACCAATTACAAGGAATATCACTATTAAAATGAAGATCACCTGATATCATTAACTATATAGCGTGATCTGTATATGGTGTCCATTATACTGAAATTGAAGACTTTTAAAATTGCTGGTGTATTGATTACAATAAGAATCAGGACGCTAGCTTGTCATTTTATTTCTTTTTAAAATGAACGTGTCAATATTTAGCAAAGACTTCCGCCGCCAAGCAAAATTTGTGCCGCCATATCCAACGTATTGAGTTTTAACAGTAAAATTATGTCACATGATTGTAACTCAAGTAACGGCTATTATATTACGTTTCACTTGAATCAACTTTGAATTTTTAAAAAAAAACCCAAAAATCTGGAACAAAAATTTTAATGTAGTTGGACGTTTATTTTTTTTATAAATACAATAAAAAACTTTCGTTTCCACTTGAACATATACCCCCGAAAGATTTTGCCAACACCCAAACCCTTTTTTTTCGCCATACTAACACTTTATAACAAAACTAGGAACAAACTTATAATAACACGGTACTATCAATATAGAACCAACTTACTATCCTAGTACTTCCATGGAGTCTTCTCAAAAAAAAAAAGTAACAAAATGAAAAAGCGTTTACCATCTTTACCACCTAATTTATACGACTTTATTATTACAACATTTACAATATAAACCTCTTTGATTACAAAGTTAGACGACGTTTTGACGTCAGTTAAATGCCCAATACAATTCAGGCTATGATAGAGTTATTCAACTTTACCGACAATTTCAACAAAGACGTTCTCGCCCTATATATTGAAGACGTTAGTTCGAAAGCGAATAACTCAGGATTTTTCGCCATATTGCAACAAGACCGAGAAATTATTAACAACCCTTCAATTTTTTTCAAAAGATTAACACCCCCTCGTGATGACAACGAAATGTCCGTCAACTCACAACACCCTCAAGCTTCAACCTCAACACTTACACATAACACCCCACCGGTTACCCCGGCACACGAATAGAAAAATTACATCCTTTAAAAACAATTATGGACCTATAACTGTACGCACCATTCTATACTTGAACAGTATTTACGTATAGTAACTATGTTAGTTAAAAGAAAGATACGGATGAATTGGCTTGAATTCTTTTTTTGAATTTTTATGTTCGCCCGGGTTTCATTGCACCCACATCTTATATATATAATATAGTGAAACCTTTCCTTTTTAATAATAGTACTATTCAATAATTGTATTAATCCTTTTCTTTCTTTTTTTTTTAGAGTAGTTCTCAATTCCTTTTCTTTTTTGTATCTAGTGCTATTGTTGTTCCGTAATGGTTGTATTATGGTTTCCTTTTCGTACAAGTGTGGGTCTGGCTGTAACTAGATGTTAGCTGCCCTAATGTAGCGCTATACTTTCTTTGATTGTATTTTAGTTTTACTTTAACTGCTTCCTACTTGACATAAAATAAATAAATAATAAATAAATCGACTTTGAATTTTTAATTTTACTTACAACATTATCACTTACCTTTCAAATGAATCAAAGAATGGTCTAAGTGTAACCTAAAGTGTGATTTCTAGTAAATAAATTTTATTAGACGTTTCAATCTTATTCATTATTAATTTATAAAGTCCATATATTAAAGTGGTTTTATTGAATAAACTTTTGCATAAAGATATTAATTATAGGTAATTATCCTTAAAAGTTTAGTTAAATTTATCTTACAATGTTCTGTCACTTCTTTTGCTCAATTGTAATTGGAATAAAAACCTACTCAAAATTTACAGTTTTATACAAAAAAGGAATTCATTTAAAATAAATATCTCTTGATATAAAAATTTTTTAGACTTTAAGACCTTCATAAAAATTTCTGTAAACTAAATAAAAAAAAAGTAAAGAGCAAAAAAAAAACATAAAAATATTCTTATTCTTGACGAAAGATTGAATTTTTTATAGTTAAATTTATTTTTTAATATTTGTATTTATACCAATTACTTATTAATTATTTATACATGTCTGTTATTAATAATTTTAACTGATATAAATTTTTCAAATCATAATAATAATAACATAAAAATTGAAAAAAATATAATGCGATATGTATTAAAAAAAATGAAGTTTATAATAAAAAACCATACCTTATTTGTTCATTCCCCATGAAATTTATTGTACTTAAAATATTAAATTTATTAAAATATACTCAAAATAGGTGACAGAGAGTTAAAAATTAGTTTTTAAATGCCGGGTTTATATTTTTAAGAACAAAAATTTTTTATCATCTAATTATAAAATTTCACACGTTAAAATTTGTACTAATAAATATATACTATTTGGTTACAGTACATTTTATCGAAATCCATTTCACCAAAACACATTTCGCCGAAGCCGAAGGGACGTTTCGCCGAATCGTCCATTTCGCCAAATGGACATTTCACCGAAATGGTATCGATTAACATTTCAATAAAAAATATTCATCGCGCAAAATTAAATTATTTTTAGAGATTTTTTTTTCAGGATATTATAACTTTAACATTCAAGCAACTGATATTAATTGTTAAGAAATTAATGAATAACTTTATTTTCCTAAAAACATTTATTCCCGAAAAAGTTAGTAAAAAAGACTATTAATATACTATTATAAACAACGAGATAAATTTAATAAAAATCAGCTAATTCAAAAATTTTTCTAGAAAACATTTCTTCATGTATTTAGTATAAAAACAATAAAATAACCAAATGGAATAAATAATTTTTCGGTGAAATGTTCATTCGATAAAATGGCTTCGGTGAAATGGATTTTGGTGAAAAGTCCGGATACCATACTAATTAATAAAACTTATTAATAATCTTTTAACGATACAACAATTAGTATGTCACGTGATGTAATTTGGAGAAATTTGATTGGTTAAACATAAAAAAATAAAATTCGCTCCGTTGACGACCTGGCCGGGTATGATTTAATCTTATGTCGTCAAATAATTAAAAGCATACTTAATTAAAATTTAAGTACATTATAAATATATTTTTCTATATTCTAAAAATATACTTAAAATATACTATAGTTGTATATTAAAGTATATTTTGAAAGTACATTATATGTACTGCATATCGCAAATTTTAAAATAAGTATATTTCAAATATATCTTAAAATTATGTTTACTTTCATATATAGCAATATAGGAATTGAACAATAAAAGATCATTTATTTTATAAATTAATCAAATAATATCAAATAAGTAATATCAAAATAAAAAGTACATCAAAATAAAAATAAATAAATACAATATAATCTAAATATAAAATAAAAGTAATAGAAAATAAAAGAACTAGAACCAAAGTGTCATATGATCAGGAGTTGATATAGAATCTTGATTCTCATTACTTGAAATAAGTTCATACCAAGGTGTAATGTCAACTCCATCATAAGTTATATTTTCTTTATCAACACTCTCTTTAAACCATGAATATAATTTTGTTTCTCTAAGCTCTTGAGATTTTTTCATCCATTTTTTCATCAAGTCAGGATCTTGAAGATAACAAATATATGGTGAATCATGTAGTTGAAGATCATTAAGGGGAATATCAAGTCTTTCAAAATCATCAATAAGTTCTTTTCTATACATCAAAAGTCCAAGATTACCATCATTTTTGGCTTTTTTAAATATATCACTAAACAAAATTAAAGGTCAGATAAGCATTTAAACAAATACATTCTTAATAAATATATTACTTACTTCATCAATGCAATAATCATATTAAATAGAACAAGAACTATAACAACATTAGCAACAAAAGCAAATAACTTTAATGGCAAATTATCACTATAATTATTCAAATTAATTGTACCCAAATAGTACATGGAAAGTATAGCATTCCATATTGTATCAGCAGGATTTTCTTGAGTTGGACCTGTTAAATTATATTCTGCATCTTCATCTTTTAATTTATAAGTTGAACTTGATGAGGCTATAGCACTATATGACGCGTTTCCAAGAAGAAAAATTCTGCAAATAAATATAAAATAAAGTTAATTTTCTTTTAATATCATGCTTAATATATCAATAATAACAAGAACAATATTACATTGAATTCCCAAATCCAATTATTAAAATAAACATAAATGTAAAAAATGGTATGATCTTTTTTAAAATATTGCCAAAAATAAATATATTTATGGCTATTACTGAAAATATTCGAAGCCATAAGAGCTTTAGAAAGTAAAAGGTAAATTAATATAAAACTATTGAAAATTAGTATCTAAAAGTCATAAAACATACCATTTCAATCCAAAGTATTAATGTAACTATTGTATATATAATGCTTATTGCCTCATTACTGATTTGGTATACATTTGTATAATTTAACAAAGAAAAAGCAATTATACCCAAAATAATACTGCTTAGATCAAATAAATTAAACATTGTAATGTATTTGATCTTATACTTCCTTATTTGCATAAATTCATTTATTAATAAATATAACCCAATGTAATAAAATATTCCAATTCCGATTTGCTCAAGTGAGTAAGTTGTTGTATCAATTGTAAGTATAATTGTATCACCAGTTGTATCTACTGCAACTACTGGTTTAAACTGAGGAATAATGGCAAACAAAATTAAAAATATAGCATATAAACCTAATGGTCTTATCCAATATGCCATTGCTTGATACCATCTTGAATTTATAGCTGCTTCTATAGATGGAATAGTAAAAAATGCATTTTCATTCTTTTTAATTCGAAGAAATGAACTAAAATTTCCATCCTCTAAGTTCTTATAGCCAGGTGGAAATAATGTCTTTCTCAAAAAAGGTATAATTCCTTTTTTGATCTTTCCTTCAACTTTTGTATCATGTGTTGTAAAATTCGGAAGTGGAACCATATAAGTGTTAGGTGATATATCCTCTCTAAAATTAAGAAATAACATCAGTAAAAGATCTAAAATAGGAATTAATAGATTGAGTAATTTATACCTCATTTTATAATATAAAAAAATATCCGAAGTATTTGTTGATAAAAGATTAGTAAGAGGCACATATACTTCTAATGTATCTTGACAAACTGATAATGCTCGGAATTTTTTAATTGGAAAATTGTACTTCATTTCTCCAAAACAAGGTTTATATAGTAACAAATCCATATAATTACCTGTATGGATAAATATTAACTGAATATCTTTTAATAAGTGAATAGCAAATACATTTATTATTATATATACCATAATAATCATGATTAGATAATTTTGATAAGTCCGGAAGTATTTTTGTAACATTAATCATCCAACCAATATGAGTCATAGAATTTTCAGAGTAATATTCTAATAAATATGCTAACATAACAGCATCTCGATCTAATAATGAAATTGGTTGTCAAAATATATAGTAAATAACAAAGAAATTAAAAATGTTACCTTGACAAAATTTTAAAGCTAATGTCAAATCATTGGCCGATTTTAGATACGTGTCTTCTAATTCCAAGTCATCACATAACTCCAAATCATTATAGTATGGATAAGAAACGTATTTATTTTGAGGTTTATGTAAATTTTCAGTAACTTGACCATTAACATCAAACAGAATGTATTTGATTAAAGAAAACGAACGTGAATAAATTAGATATGACATTAAAGGATATTGAATCTCCATGAGTTTCCAATTATCAGGATATCTTTTAATAAAGTCTTTGATAATATTTGTGATTCCACTAACAAAATTTTGATGTTTTTCTTTAGAGTTGATTCTTTTTGTATGTTTATACAGGTAGGCGAGTGATTTACATGCGTGAGTTATTACAGTAGTCATATCATCATCAATTAGAAATTTAGTTTTTGTTTCTGGTTTGATTTTGTCGCTTATCAAAATATAAACAAGGTTCGAATTTTCAAAATTTCTGAAATTGTTAAAATCTACAAAATTTATGGATTTAGATTTCCATAATTGAATACTATTTTGACCAATTATAAGGAGAAGTTTTCTGTCATTATTAAGAAATCTACCACGAATAGCCTTTGTACTATTATTCCATGGTTCTAGATCACATGACTTATATTCATGCTCATCAGTCGATTCAGTCGCATTGTCGTTCTCTCCAAAAGTTGTTCTTTTTAAAGTTATCTCTTGTACAACTTTAAACTGATCCTCAAAAAATTTATTATGAAATACTACTTTTCCGTTTGCTTTTGTTAAAGTATTAAAGTGCCCATCATATTTTGACGGAGTAAGAATATTACTATCTGATAAGCCAATATCATCTTTAGAAATAGAAAAATAATCATTTAAACATCCTGATATAATCCAAACATAAAATTTCATATTATTTTCTTTGTCTTCTTCAATTATGAATAATTTTTTATCTTTTTCAATAAATTCTAAAAATTTAATTTTATAAATATTATCAAATTTTTTTGAAACAACTTCAAGACCACTTTCCATTAAATAAAGAGTAATAGTGTTATTTCCATAAGAATAAGCAAATAATCTTGAATCTGTCGATATCGCAAATATTCCAGGTTCAATTAAACAGTCTTCTTCACAATGCTTATAAAAAACATTCACTAATTGTAAATTATTAACATCATATATTTCAATATTTATTTTTTGATGACCTCTTGTATCAACCATTAAATATTCTTGAAATTTAGATTTTAAAAGATACTTCCAATTGCATCTTGAATCCTCAAAACTTTCTAATTTTTTAAATAAATTTTCAGGTAGTAAATATGTACTGCCTTCTTTTGGTATAGAAATGTTTTTGTTCAATTTAATATTAATCTTTTGTATTTTTACACAGTTCATACAAATAAGTGTTACACGATTCTTCAAAGAATTTTTGGAATTTTTTAAAAATGTAAGTACTCCACCATGATGTTGTATCAAATAGTTGTTATCTTTGTTGTTATCATTATCATTATTAAATGAAAATTTAATAAGTTTTATCATCCCTTCACCAGAAGTACAGGATAATCGAAATTGTTTAACATCCTTTATTAAAATTTTACGAGTGTGAATGTATTCATAATAGAAAAGAATGCAAATGGGAATGATAATAAAAAACAGGTAAAAAAAAAGATTTGAATCATCAAATTTGCTGACAAAATCAGAAACGAAAGTAAGGATAAAAGTAGAGATAGCAATATATGAAATAAATAATAAGATTAAAAAGAGTTGAGAATCCCAGAATGATAATTGTTTTTTGATAAAAAGTTTAAAAAGTTTTCGAAGACCGCCTTCCTCAATTTCTTTTGGATTTATGTCTTTGTCAGTTACACAAGAAATTGCGACCAAACAAGTATCATATTCGGTATTAATTATGTCCGAAACTGCTAAAGACCATCCAAGAATGTTAGACTTTTTGAATTTATTTATATCAAATGGTATTTTCGCCTTTTCATTTGTTGTTAATTTTGTAATTGATATGGAAGAGCCATCTGAAAAATTAAGTTAAATTTAGAGGAATTTATTTTCATATTTTTTTTTTCTAGTATAAAAATTGGATTTACAGCATAATATAATAACTTACATGGATTAAACGTCGCTACTATCGAACCATCTGGGCTAATTGCCACATAAGTAATGTTTTCTCCATATGTACGGTTCCCATTTTCTAGATCGTCAACGTATTCTTTTTCATACATGTATTTGTCTGTTTCGATTTCGATTTCGTCCATTTTTTCTTTTTTCTTGTATCAAAGTATGAGAAAAAGAATTAAATAAAAATTCCGAAGAAATTTTTTTTTTTTTTGCCAAAAAACCACGTCTAAGATTTATAATAATTGCATATGTCGATCCCTTTTCATTCCATATACTGAAACACGTTACTCATTCACTCGGTACAACTGAGAATCCATAACAAATATATAATATCCATTTTGTGCTGTTTTATATTTATAAGGATTAACCGAGATATCCGAATAATATATAGTCAAATACAAAACTTGATTCAAATAAATAATGTCACAATCGAGTGTAACGAATAGATCTGGAATTTAGACTTGTACTACTATTTTTTAATATTCTACTATAATATCAACATTTTTTATAAGTAAACTTATCCAAAATTGGAATTTTTTGTTTTTAAGCTTGGAACACTAAATTTCAAATCTTTTTCCATATAAACACCGGGATTTCCGAGGATTCACAATATTCAAAAAAACATTAGATTTTTTTGTAATACATCCCTTGAACACAATTTTAAAAATGGCGATAATCGAAATTTAACGAGTGATTCTGTTATCATATTAATTCGAGAGCCTTACATGTAACAAAAGTAAATTAAAACACTACAGAAAATAAAGTGCAATTTTAATTGATAAGAAGATTAATTGGAGAGTGTTACATGGTAGAATTGGAATTTACTAGTTAAAGATTTTTCTCTTTGCTCCTTTATTTAATTAGTTTGTACATAATCAGATTATGTTATTATAGAACCCATTTGCCTTTGTATAACTAGGAGGATGATAAGACGAACAAAACAAGAATTTTTTTGTTGATAATATTGTGTACAATCTTGAAACTATCTAAATTTACACAAAAGTTATCCCGATACCTATGAGCTAAAGTAAATTTTGACACAAAATTTCAAATACCTAAATAGAAAAAGGTAACTAATCGGTATTATCCGCTTATACCATATATAATAAAAATAATATTCGGGTATATGATATATCCGAAGTACAATGTGAAGTTTTTTTAAAAATCTTTAAACGCTTTATTATTACAAATAATTTGAAATGATTGTATTGACATTTAAGGTTAATACTTTTTCAAATAAGATTTTCAAATAAATAAAGTTTTTACTACAGGAAGCAGATTACGATAAACAAAAACACTTTTATCTACCACAGACTAAAGATTTTTTTTTTTTTGCGACTTTCAAAATTAAAAAAATTGGAACCTAAATTTTTTTTATTGTCACAAATGTCACAATGATGCATCACTGAAAAACAAAATAAAATATATTATATTTTTGGCTTAATTAATGTCGTACAAATAGTCTCCTGATGTTATTATTCGTGAACTTAATGTATTCAATATAATTTTTTTTTACATTATCAATTCAAATACCAATAAGTTTCCTGTTGTTAGTGTTACTAAACATGTAAAAAATCTGAAATAGTGACACATGAAATATTAACCAAATTTTAATTATAATTTTCCGCTTGGTATTACAAAGCTGATCTATGTTATGTGACTAATAAATTCAAATCGGGAAATTTACAATAAGAAAATCTGAATAGTACAAAATCTAAATGTCTTCTATCAATCGTCCTGCATACCTTCCAAAATGTCCTGTTATAATGAGAAAGAACAAAAATTCACTAAATTATTGTGTGCATATTGTCGATCGAGTTTATGAAAATTTTTCATAAAAAAAATTTCGTCAAACTCTTTGGCTTTTATTAACTTCATAACCAAAGTATTTAAACTTTAAATGGCTTTATATATGAAATCAAAAGTAAAATTGATTAAGAATTAGATCCTCAACAATTTTTTACATATAGACCCATTTGGCTCTAAAAGCGCACCAAGCAAGTGCTGATCATTTTTGACGTCATCTACGAAAAATCTCGAGATTCCAACCCTATTTGTGGCTTCGCAAATGATTCCCAAAACTATAGTGATGCCTGGTGATTCCTGGAAATTTCTCGAGATTATGAGGAATTTTATTACAGAAAATCGTGAATACACTTTCTTATTATTGATTGTCCGATGTTCGCCTTACGTAATCAATGATGTGCCCACACACGTGATCGGTTTTAACATGATATTTGTTATGCATCAAACACCCAAGAATCGGAAAGTTAATAGGTTATGCCATGGTTTGTTTTTTTAGGGTGCGGTTGGGAAGACGATGTAGAAAAAAAGCCATTGAAGCAACGAGCGACGATTAGATATTCATCAATTAGCTTTTACCATTAGCTTTTTTAGACTTTAAATTAAACTCTCTTGATTGAGTTTAAAAAATATAATTATTTATTTGTATGATTTATTGACTGCGATGAATCATTAACGGTTAAATAAAATTTTATAAAAACGTAACAAAAGAAACATTATAGAAATTTATAGATATCCCCCCTACCTAAAATGAAAATAATAGTCTTTTTTATCGTTATCAAATTTATAATATAATATTAGAAATATTTCGTGCTTCAATTATTAAAGAAAACATCAAATTTATTTATTTATTTATTTAATTTTTTTGATGAGCTAACGAAAATAAATAAGAATTTTTTGTTATATAATTTTCTAATAAATAAAATTACCCATGATAATAAGCGGTTGGTTTATATCGTGGGTTTTTTTTAATTGATCGATAAATCACCTGATTCAATAAAAAAATTTATTTTATTTTTATTTTATTTCGAGAAGAGTAGTGGACGCGAGTCCATAACTGATAAAAGTAACTCGGTACGTGAGTACAAAAAACTAATATATCACGAATCCTCATCCCACACAGGACCTCACCCTTCGAAGAAGAGGAGAGCTAACCTAGGAGAAACTACGCCGCCTAAGATAACCTGATCAATAAAGCGTAAATGTGTCTGATATTTCACGTGAACGATGGTCAGCAACTGCTGACCACGCACGTGATCAGTCATCTTGGTTGAACCAATGCCCTATAAAAAAATTGGATACGTTTTTTATAAAGTTTTTATACGATTTTTTTCCTTAGAAATAACGTATCATAATAGGATACGGAAAAATGCACAATTCCGTATCACTAAAAATATGGTTTGGATACGGAATTTGCACGGAATTCATATGGAATTTACATGATTTGATCACTGATTTTATCACGAAATTTATACGATTTCACTGAATTTACTATTTGTATTACAGTTTACTATAATTATATTTACATAAATCTAATTTTACTTTATTAAATTAGATAAAAAATAAAAAATAAACAAAATACAAATACATTATGAAAATTCCTCCTTATTAAAACCACCTATTGCAACCAAAATTATCTANGATAATATTGAATGAAGTTTCTTTTTATGTGAAAGTTAAAGTTAAATAGTTTAAATATTAAATCGTGTATTGAAGTTAGTTTACTTCTATTTTTCTTTCATTTATACTTTATTTATATAGAATATTCTTAACTATAAAATCTGATAAATCTATATGTAGTATATATTATAAAACTTTATAAAGATTTTAAACATAAAACTGTAATACAGTAAGTGCAAATATTCCGCTCAATGTATCTTTGCTCAATGATAATTGTTACAAATTCTTAGTGAAATTTCATTTGATTATATCATTTTACGCATAATAAATGGTTTTGGTTAATACTTAAGGTATAGACCAAGTTAACTAAAATTCATTTTTTTTTCATTTATCTGTTATGATTATATTTTATAACTTACAAATTTGTGAAAGAGTGAAAAACTTATTACCGTATTTATTAATGTTGATTTTTTACAAAAATGGCTAAATAGAATACATGAAATACTACTTCTATTTACGCCATAATCTACAAATCAAATTTGAAAATTGGATTATATAATCGGATCATCATGACATCATCGGCTAAATTTTATAGTTCAAAACCTTCGTCTAATTTAAAAATTGATAATTAATTCCGTTCTTCATGTGAGAGCATCGTTTTAATCATATCTTAAAATTTTATGATAGATAGGCTTTTTAATATTGATAGATGTACGATACCATCAAAAGTTCAAAAATAAATTGAATACTTTATTTTAATTGTTAAAATTTTTCGAAGCTTAAAATATTAATGATGAAATAATATAATGAGATTGTCAGAAAAATTCGTTAGAAAAGAAATAAATTCAATTTATTATGAAAATTATATAAATTAATAATTCAGGTATATTTTTTTTTTCACTAAACCGGATGGTTATCGGTTATGTAATATAAAAATAGAATTTTTGGTCAGAAATAACATCTCATTACAAGAGAAATTCTTTTATGGTTCAAACAAATAATCATTAAAAGAATAAAAACACCATCTTTATTTAAAAATAAATTTATATGAGAATAGATTTAATTTAAATTTACTTAAAACTGAATTTTTTTTCCAATATTTTTTATTTTTTATCGGATTTTTTTTTCACCATTTTTTTTTACTAATATAGTTTTTTTTTTTAAACTAATTTTTTTCAATTTTTTTTTAAAAAAAACTGATTTTTTTTTCCTTTTATAATATTTATTTATTTATTTTTTTTATTTTAAGGCTAGCCAGGAGAAAACATTGAACATAATACAAACTAATAAAAACAATTATAAAATAACACAATGTTGAATCATCGCCCAAATAAATCGGGCCCTAACTAGATTATAAGAAATACTATCTAAAAACCCGACCGAATAAAGATAGTTAAAATATATATATAAAAAGCACGTAATCTAGCAGTAGGTAACTAAACCATTAAAATACGGGAATAATGAGGAGAAGAATAATAGGAAATATCATCTGATAAATCATAAGTTAATTGATTAAAAAAAACACTACTATGTAAAAAATTTGAAGATGCTAATATAATAAAAATGAGATCAGAACGGTTATAATTATTATATAACGATACTGTTTGAGGGCAAATATAGCCAATGTTACGACGTCTGGGCGCTCTGGTAGTCTTCATACGAGGATCACGTTGATAATTTTTAAAACTCTTTTTCGTTATCTGTAACCTACGTTTTTTATCTTTCCACGTGGCTGATCGAACTTTCCAAATATTACGTTTAATTATTCTTTTCGCTGTTTCCATAAATTTAAGTATGGCTTTAATCGTCGCTCCTTGTGTAAGAAAGTGGGTTCTAAATGTACGTAATAGTTCTTCTGATACATAAGATCGTAAAAGTAAGGTTGCATTATCCGTGATTGGTGCTTCGTTGTAAAAGGACCAACAAAAAGTGTTGGATTATTTGATAGATTCAGTAATACATAGATTCAATTTATCTGCATATTTTTGAAGGAACGTCTGAGCTTGATCAGCTAGAAGTCTGAAAGTTGAACGAATATGTGGTAATAGGGTTGGACATTTCCAAATATGATCGTTACTCTCTTCTGCTGAGTTACAGAGCATACACTTGGTGTCATTTTTGATTAATTTTGGAAAGTTCTGATTTAAAAAGTCTAGGGTTGGTAACGTACCAGTTGACGATTTAATAATCCAACTAATATCTTTACTATGTTTTTCATCGGTATATGTGTCTCTTGAATTATGATGAAAAAATTTTGATGTCAATGACCAATTGATCATATTATGTTGTGTGAACTTGTATATGTCTGATAAATTATTGTGATTCATGTGGTTATCTAACCATCTATAATCTATGATTTTGCCAACCGTCTTCCTAATATCTTTATCTATCTTGATCTCATTATTCCATTCCAAGGAAATATTTAAATTAGGGATACCATGGAGAGTAATTGACGTGGGAGGAGTTTTAAAATGACCCATTTTAGCTAGATCATCCGCTTTTTCATTATCAGCTGAAGATGAATGTGCTTTAACTTTAATCAGTTTAACATTAAGCGATAATTTTTTAATAATGTGATGAATCGCTGACCAAAGAGACATATAATTAATTTTGTTGAATCGGCGTGGAGAAACATATTGTAAATGTGCAGATTTCTGGAAATTGGATATCGCAGCTTGAGAGTCAGTGAAAATCGTGACGTCCGAACCACCAGGTAAAATAATTAGAGCGGTTAAAATGGCCATGATTTCAGCTTTTGTCGCTGAAGGAAAGTGTTCAATAGAACCACAATATGAGAAATCTTGATTTTGTATATTAGATATATGCCAACCATATCCCATGTGAAATTCATTGATACCAGGGGTATTATTAAAGGATCCATCCGTATATAATTCAAATATCGGGTAGTGATGAACTTGTTGTGCCAAACTCCATAGATTAGCTTGAATTAAACGATCTTTAATTAAAACTGTAAGTAGTTGGTAATTAAGATTTCCGGGAATAGCATTATCTAATGAATCAGCTTGGATAGAATCAGCTGTTATTAAACCCCCGCGGATTAAGTAATCATTATACGCTACGACCTTATAATATTCATGATTTTGTTTAAGAACTTTGGCTATCTTGAGTAGACGGGTTGGTAACTAGGAAGAGTACAAGTCTATATTTGATTTTTGTAGGATATATGCACGGATATTTTTGGAGTAAGGAATTTTTAGGATACATGAGATTCTTTTATCACCAATATAATAAGGAAAGTGTAATTGACAACCTGGACATGGTTGGATAATGTTTGGACGTGAACGAGGTGTTGAAGTTGAAGCGTTTAGAGGAACTTTAATCCAATGTTCAGCATATAAGATAGGGACGTTATGTTCAAAATTGGTAGAAGTAATGGCTTTTCCATATACAACGTCAATGATATTAGGTGACCAGGTTTTAACCCATTTACTAGGTCCTTTGTGATGAAAAGCTTCGCGTGATATATTAGGTGGTTTGAGACGTTCCACATTATGACTTTTTATTATAGGTTGATCTAGTTCAATATTCAATCTATTATTGCTATTTATCGTTAAATTATCCTTAAGAAAGGTATACCATCTCGGAATTCTACCTTTTTTGCATTGCAGAGATTTTTTAATATCTTTGTAATCCTTTAAATAAGCTGACTCTTCAGTGATTATCTGATCCAAGAACATAATACCTTTAGTACGTAAACTCATCAAATGACTATATAAGAACGATTGATCAATCACATAGTGAGAAATAGGGTACACACCACCTCTAACCTTAAAATTAAAATGGGAAGTTACCGAAATATTATAAAATTTAAAAAAAAACAAATAAACTTTCTAATCTAGTGAAACGTCGTAATGGGGAATCAAATAAAGTAAAAAAATCAAATGGATTAAAAGGTAAATTATATTTTTGTTGTGTTAATAATAAAAGAAATTTAATAATATCACTGGTATATGGACAGTTAGCTTGTGCGAAAAATAACGCTGATTGTGCTTTTAGTTGATTGTCGAAGATATTCACAATGTGAGGGTAAATCCTACTATGGATAACTGAGTTATAAGTGTTGCGTGGTAATTGTAAGGAATTTTTGAATAAAGAGCGTAATCGTGAGTTAAGTTTTGCACAATAAGAGGCTGGAAGAAAATATGTTGGGATAAATATTCTATCCGTGGAATGATCACTTTGTTAATAACATAGATCACGTGATCATGAGTGAGTTTTTTCCGTCTAATAAGGAATGATGTATAATTAACCATTCTATTAATTTTTGAAAGAGTGGTGGCGTTGGTTCCATCAGCATGTAAGTGAACTCCAAGAATGCGTGTACCTTTACCCATTGGTTGTAATTTCACATTAATTGAGTCATTACCAAAGGAAATGTTGATAATATCCGATTGTTCTTTTTTATCGTTGGATAAAATTACCGTCTTGTCCTTATTAATTTTAATGTTGGCTAATTGATAAAAACTATCTGCAATTTCCAAATTCTTTTGTAGACAATTAAGGTCACTAGTTAACCATGTGGTATCGTCTAAATATCCCAGAACCTTTGCTGAAAATTTTTCAATATGCCGATCATCTATATCAAAACGATGAATATTTCTAGGCAACGAAGTCTCAAATTCTATACCCATGTATTCCTTATCTGTCGTTTCATTAATTAATTGAAACATGGGATCATAATAAATGACCCATAAGAGCGGACAAATAGATTCGCCTTGATCTATACCATTAAGTACGTCATATTGGTCTCCAATAAAGTTTTCAAAAAGTACTGAATTCTTTCGATCAGTAAAGAGATTAATAATGAAGTCTATTAGATTTTCAGGTATACATATACGTAAAAGGGCGCGTCTTAGTAAAGGAATATTAACCCGGTCATAAGCCTTTGAGAGATCTTGAATCATGATATATAGCTTTTTGTTGAGTTGTTTAGCCGCAGTAATAGCGCTTTGAATCGTGAAAATGATTTCCATTCAGGATGATCCTTGAGTACCTGCTCTATTGTTAGGTTGTAGAATCTTATTTGAACTTAAGTAATAATTAAGACTTGCGTTAATAATTTTCACAAGTAATTTTCTAAAGGTGTCTAATAAAACGATAGGATGTGTATGTTTAATATCATTATCCCACCAATTTGGTTTTGGGATTGGATATAAAAGTGCATCTTGCCATGAATCCGGTAAGATACCAGTAGAAAGTATGTGATTATAAAAGTCTACAAGTTCTTTCAAGAACGATGATGGTATTTTTTTTATCAATTCATATGATATGCCTGAAGGTCCTGGAGCTTTATGATTTGGTAACGTTTTGATCATTAATTGAAGTTCATCAACGGTAATTGGATCTATGAGTTTTTTTATGGCGTCCTGATCATTGATTGTCTTTGGTGAGTAAACGGAACGCCAGGGATGTGGCATTTCTATTAAAGGATTGTATACATTAGGTGATGTGTCTGAGGATCCTATATTTTGAAAGTGTGAGTTAACTTTCTCGTTAATGATCTGATGGTCTGTCATATATTGAATATCGCCATTTTCATAAAATTTAAGACGATCAAGGATAATCTTTCTGGGATTTCTTTCTAAAATAGAATTTAATGCTCTTTTCTGATTAGTTTTTAAGTCTTCGTTTCTTCTATTAATGAAATATTCTATTTGCTGGACATCCCAAGCGTTTCGTTCTTTGACGATTTCATTGTTGATATGATCGATTAGATTAACAATATTGATATGGACACTCTCTAACTCTTCGACCGAATTTAAAGTTTGACTATATAGTGCAATCCCATTTCGTACATTATATTGGCGTAATAATTTGATAAGCCAATTTGATTTTCTTCTCCAATGGCGGTCAAAATTATTTTTTATTCCTTTATGTTGTTCAGCACTTGAGGGAATTTTTAATTTAAATTGATCTGATTCTATATATAATGCTTCTTTTACTGTAGCTTGTATAGAGTTGAGTTGGTGAATATGATTATATTTTTTACGTAAAGCCAGTGGTAAATTATTGCGCCTTGGTGTTACTTTAATTTTTGCGACCTTCATTTCGTTCAATGATTCTTTGATGATGGATTTGAAATTATTCATTGCTGCTGATACTTGAGTTTTTGTTGAATAATTTGGTATATCCTGCAACCTTATGAGTTTTTCATTAACTATATTATTAAATGTGACCCAGTCCTCTTTTTGAATGCTATTAAGGTTATATCTATTGTTGAAGGATTTTCCTGTATCACGTGACTTTTTGAAATTCTTTAAGTTAACAAAAGAATTGTTTGGATGTTCAAAAGTGAACATCAACATGGCGTGGTCTGAAGAGTAAGTTGTTCTTGTTAAATTAAAGTCAATGATAATTTCATTAAGATTTTTAGATGCCCAGATATAATCAACAGTAGTTTAGGAAGCTGAACTATTACAAGAAGATAACCATGTTTTCTCCGATTCTTTTTTGAAGGTTGTCGCTATATTGGTAAAATTTAATAGTTTTAATATTTTTTAACACATCCATTGTTCTAGTTTGTTGTTTTTGATTTTGTCCATGGCGTCAATATATGAAATTGATTTTCCTTTTTTAAGGATCTCTTTGGAATAATTAATATTAAAATCCCCCATTATCGTGGTATAATTGTGGTCACGTGATTTTGTTTTAGCGATATCATCAAAAAGAATTTTGCAGATGTTATTAAGTCTCATTTTTTTAATGTGTTCATTTGACTTATCTTTACCACTTGGTAAATAAATTCCATAGATGTTGAATATTTTGTGATTTTTGAAATTAAGCGTAATCTTTATACAACGACCATGATCCAATATCTTTGTTGTTTGTAGATGTTTATGTAATTTCTCTGTCAGTATGAAAGTACTACCTGAACCTCTGTGTTCCAGATCTGGATTGTTAATAAAATAAAAGGTATTATTAGAATTATTATGTATTGGTGCTATAATTTTTTGCCACGCAGTTTTAAGTGTGGGTGAAAAATTTGGGTCTACAATGTTGGTCTCGCAAACGAAGAGACAGTCAATGTCATGTTCCATCATATATAATAACAAATCGTCTCTTTTTTGATTGAGGGAACCTTGAATGTTATGGGTAGCGAAAATTAAAGTGGGATAAGAATGTTGTTCAATTTGAGGGGTATCTGTATTGTCAATATTATTAATGTTATTTTTTTGATTTTGTAATTTTGAAGTTTTTTTAGTATTTTTAAAAGGATTATTTGAAGAAATAAGATGTTTAATTTTAGAAAAAGGAGAAAATTTCTGGTTTTCGACGCCAGAAGTGTGTGTATTATTACTGTTGTTAATCATTAATCCACCCTGATAGTTGAGAGATAATACTTGTGTATAGGGCAATAATCAATGATTATTGTTGTCTCTGGTTGAGACCGAGGAAACCACCTACTCTTGATGTTATAGAGGGGAATGAAGATGATGTGGGATGTGATGATGTATAATTATCATCATCAGGAAATATGCGGGTATTAATTGTATCTGAAGATTCGTAGCCATTATTAGAATCCTCGTATTCACTATAGATCTCTTCTTGTTGATGTACGTGTTCCTCGACGTATAAATTGTGAGGTGGATGGGCGTAATTATGTGTACCATATGCCTCTTGTTGTGGTTGGTAATGTGTTAATATCCCTGAGTTGTTAATGTTTCTCAGGATTGATGCCATTTCTGGGATGTCACTAATGATCTCTGACTGTTTAGTAATGGTTGTATTGGTTTTCTCACATTCCACTCTAATTTTTTCGATGTCCTCTGCATGACGACGTTCTTGTTCTTGTAATAATTTAATATCTTTATTATGGGTTTTTTGAGTAATATCTAGGCCTTTAATTTGTGAACTAAGGTCTTTGATAATAGTGTTGAGATGTGTGATTTGTTTTTTAAGTTCTTCGATATCGTTGTCCTGTTTGCGTCCTTTACCTTTATTTGAAGAATTATACCTAGATTCTTCGGTAG